GATTCAGATGATAAAATGAAGAGTCTTGATCACCTTCAAAGCATTGTTGAGTTCTAGATTGTCATGATTGTGTTGTCCAACCACACACACTCTTGTTATCATACTGGACGCACTTAATTCTAAAAATATAAAATATAGGTACTCTAGTAAGTGTTCATGATAACATACCCAGAGTGCGATAAATCGCAGGGCGCTTGATAAATCGCGTACTTACAGTACGTACCGGAGGTAACTTCTTTTCTCGGCCACCTCCGTATATACTTACTTTTTTATGGAACCATGTGACTTTTCCAAGTCCAAGGCATCCAAAACCGCAATTAAGTCGCTATTATGTGTAAGTCTGATATATCTTGGTCGGAAACACGATTGGACTGATGGGGCTAAGGAATGTTGTTGGTGTTGATTGTAGTTTTTGTACATGCAATTGTGCTCCTTGTTCTAACTTGTAGTCTAAAAATCTTGAATTATCGCACCATGATTAAAGTATTCTGATATAGCTACATGTATAATAGATTGCTAACACATCAACGCCCACTCTCTCTGACTCAATGACTCTATATATAATAAACATGAACACCTCTAATAGCCGTCGCATATACAGTGTCATTTCTTTCAGTGGACTAGTAAAAGAAACTGGAAGAGTTTTCACTTCTGTTGACTCCGCAAACTATGGAGTAACTATTGAACTAGATGATTCATAGCCTGCGTGGCAAGTCCTCGTTGAAGCGGAAAAAAAGAACGGAGAGTGAGGTCCTGCAAGAAATCCCAGCTATCATGACTAAACACCCAAATAAAAAAGGTTTGTTAAAAATAGTTGTCATATAGTAATGATAGACGAACAGATCTTGTTCTGTTGTCAATGAGCTATCATGCTGTACAGGGCCACCGAGAGGTTGCGCAGGGCCCAGGAGAAAACTTTCCCAGGGTGCCCTATGACGTCATAATTGTAAAACAGGAGTTTTACAATATACATCTCTTCCGACTATATTACATATAATCCGGCACTGATGAAGCTGGAATTTGTATTCTCATTTAAGCAATCTTGTATCAAGAAAAAATTTAACTACTCATAAAATTTTATCGTCGCTTTGGGAGCCCTTTTTGACCTGGAGCAAAATGCCCTCCTCCCCCACCTCTCTGCGGCATTGATGCTGTAACAAGTTATGTCCAGGACATTAAACCAACAATTTTTCCACCAAAGACTACCTTAAAAGCAAATTACATGCCTGAGGTCAAAGAAACTTATTGAGATGGAGGACAAAGGTTTATGTTTCCATGGATGCTTTTAAGGCACATTAACCCATTAAGCACCAGCGCTCTCCCCTTGACGAGTAAAATCGTCTGGCGTCAGACAGAGTAAAACAATAAAGTAGGGCGCAATGCGACTCAATGGGTTAAATACCTACATAGGCTTGGGCGGTTTACCGGTTTTAATTTCAAACCGTTTTCTTTCGGTTTAGCTTTTACAAAAACCGTAAAACCGTCACTACGTAATTGTTTTCTGTCATCTTAATTCTCAAAACATGACACTTATTTAAACTCAATTGTATAACACTAAATAAAAAGTCGGTAAGAACTAAATAGGTATAAGTTTTCAAATGCGTTCTTGACCCTTTTATTTTAAAACTGAAATCGTTTAGGTTACCTTTACACAATTTTGCGTTTTGTCGTCTACTGTTCGTTTGCTTACGTTAGAAAAATACCACAATTCCTTCCCATTCAGTTGAAGTAAAAATTAAAGGGGAAACAACCCGATTTTCCGGTTTAGAATCAGACGGTTTTTCGGTTTTGATTTTAAGCAAAACCGCCCAAGCCTATACCTACATGTATGGACATGTGGCAAGGGGAATATATACTGTTGATAAGCATGAACAAGAGACCTTCCAACCTGTTTCATAGGGTGTTACCTCTGCCACGCCCCCAAAACACGTTTGTTCCTAGCATTGTATATCTTCTTCACAACTGACACTGAAGTATTAATTTTACAGCTTCAGTAACAGACAATTATTTATTAATTTTCTATTTCTTCCACATTGCTTATTCATTCCAACAAAATTTATAAATAACCTTGATGACATGGTAGAACCACCTTCAGTTGACAAAGGATATTGTGTGATTCTAGCACATAGAGTTTAGCATTTCATATTAATATTAATATGTGAGGGAAGAAAATTAAGAAATGTTCAGCATGTTTTGTCAACCCTGAGACTGTCAAATAATGTGGTTCCGGTTTCCAGACCAACACCAACATTTTTCAATGTGGCTGCAGTTGATCAGGTTGTTGTGAGTTGCATGCTTACTATACAGGGTGTATAAAAAAAACTGAACAGATTTGAAATTGCTCTCAATTTTGCAAAACAGCTATTAGTATCCAGTTTTTTATGTATATAGCTTCTTTGGGTACTTATAATGTAGAATAATAAAAATTTTTGAACAAATTTTGTGAACCAGGGGGGGGGGGGTCTTTTTCAAGAAACTAAAAATGGCTAAGCTTGCGCACGAAATTTAAAAGCTTTAATCATATTTTGAGTTAAATAAATGGAAAAGTTGTTGGTTTTTTTTTAATTACTGTACAAAATTTCATACAATTTGCTTTAGTTTAAGCCCTTTAATTTAAATTAACTATTCATTTTTCAAATTTTCTCAACAACCGGTTTTATACAATCGGGAAATACCAAAATACTACCGATGCCTATTGTCTACCAGCCCGATACCAATTATCGGTCAATCACTATATTTACAAGCGTGTGAATAATATTTTCATTTCTATGTTTCAAATCTTCTGGATTCGTTTGTGATTATTAAGTAGAATTGTTATGTGTTATATGGTTAATATTTAAAAATTAAAATCACCAAAACAGTCATTAAAATAGCCCCCAAAATGCTAAAAATGGCATTTACTGACTCTTGAATTGAAAGAAATTCCCTGTACAACCCTGGCTCCCCCTAAAAGTTCATTGTCAGGACAAGGGATAGCATGAGCATCCAAATACGCTTTCACATTATTCAAAGTTGTGCAGGGTAAAATTGTTTGGGCCGCTCCTAGGATTTTCTCTCCCTCCCCCCTGGACTAGAAATCCTAGGCTCCTAGCTAAGTCACTGTAATACAGTAAATTTATATATTTTACTATATAGAGCCACCTTAAGGCATAAAAAGAAATACCTGTGGTTCCGGTTTCATATCGTGAAAAAATTAGGGTCGGTAGGTCGGAAATAAATTTTTTTTGAATATTTTTTTCATGGTTTTGGCAGTTGTTTGCTGGGCGATTTGCAGTAGAGTCCCGACATCAATATTAACTAGAGATGCATATTTCCTATGGACGAATTTAGGCAATTTGGTTCAATAATTAGTGTGAGAACAGATGCCATTTTGGCGTTGAAAAAATAATAGGGTCAGCTGAAAAAAATAGGGTCGGTCGGGAACCGGAACCACAGGGTTTTTTTTTATGCCCAATGGTATTTAGTATTTTTGCACAAATGAATATAACAAATCCTACAAGTTGACTGGTCAAATTTGATGTATGAAGCTGTTATATAATTCACCTACAGGTGAATATAACAAAACCAAAATTTGCAAAAAGGTGGTTAGTCATTTTGTGGAAGTTACTGATAAAGAATAAGCAAAATTAAATAAATTCAGTGCCAAAAAACACAAAAGACTTGTGTGAAAATACTAAAACAATTATTTGTCCAAGGCTCGGTGATTAACAGAGAATATTCACCTCAATTTCATCTCGGTGAATATTCCCTGATAATCACCTCACCTTCGGTGAATAATTGTGAAATAATAAATATTAAATAAATGTAATACAAATATGTCTGACTATAAAATTTGAAAAATTTCCAGTGAAATTCATTTTGGTCAGATGTTGCTCCTGCTTTTTGTTACCATTGAGGCCCAGACTGCAGAGTTGGTCAACGTCGCACTCGATATTTTTTCAGGCACAAATTTCAGCGCACCTGGGATGTACTTTATAACAAATTTTGCAATTTAATCTGCCCTCAAATCTCTAATTTTCATTGTTTTTAACATGTATCTCGCTACTTTTGTGCCCTTGACTGCATCTTGATGCGCACTTGGGAACTGTTTTGCGCACCCGCACTTCGATTTTCTAACATTTGCGCACCCGAGATCTCGTCGAAAAGTGCCCAACTCTGCAGTCTGGATTGAGGCCCTACAACTGAGTATGCTAAAAAGTATATAAAATTATAAATTGGGGTCCAGCTGGCAACAATTTAAGCAATTTTTGCCACGTGTAAGAACAAAGACCATGCCTTTTTAACCATCAAATATTCAGCACACATATGAAATCATTTAAAATATAAAATTTATTGTTAACACACTGGCATAAAACCATTATATAAGAATAATTTTAACGCACAGACTAAAACAAAAGATAATGTGTTATTAAAATATTTTGTAATTTCAACACCTACTCTATATTCTATGTAATTGTGTTCAAATAAACTAGATAAAAAATAAATATAGAATTTCAAATTTCATACAAGAAATACAACATATAAATGGACCATTTTATGAAGCGAGTTAATACATTTATAAATCCCTTTTAAACGAGTTTTCAAAGTTCAATAGCTTACATAACGATACCATTTATAAATTCAACTCATACAACTATAAATACAGGATAAAATAAACAATAAATAACTGACGAAAGCAGACATACCATTTGGAAGCTCCTGTGCCATAATGACTGACTCTGTATAATCCGTTGTTGTTTCGTCAGTGATCATACTCTAATTTCAATGCGCACCAACTAATCCTCAAAATCTATATACCTTTTCTTGATAAAGTACAAAACAGATGCAAAATTAAGAGCTAAAAACTCTAGAATTTGTCCAGTACATGCATATTTTTTCACACGAAGAGTTCTTTATATTTTCAAAACACGCGCGTCAGTTGGGCCTGGTTTGAATCTTTGCCATATATGGTCAAAATATTATCAACTATCCATAAGAATCCCTAAATTATCCTACACTATTCCTATATATCCAATGGTTGGGCTTGATCATAGGCTTGATTTTCAGATTTTGAACTCGCATGCTTTCATTGCTTTGCCAGAATTTTTAAAATATTTCTTCTGAAAGAAATTTGTTGCTCAAAACCTAAAGGTAAGAATGAATATTTACTTGGCTGATTAACGAATAGTAAAATTTGGTGTAATCTACTCATTCTACAGTAATGAATATTAATTAATTCAGATAATAAATAATATATACAAAGGCAACTGGGACCGCCGCAATGCCGTCGGCAAGGTCATGGACCGCGGAAACAGTAGCGTCCTCACAGAAGGCCGACTTCTTGATTTTTGTAACTGTTGCAATGCTGTCACCATGTTCCTGGCCAATGTGCTTGCTTGAGGCATTCATCCCCCTGAAAATATTCAAAATGGTGGACATTTAGGGGGGTGATTGCCTCTCGTAAGCACACTGGCTAAAGAACATATTGTCATGGTGAGTGTATTTTGATGACAAATCATTGTGTAGTGGTTACGACAAAGGTTCCAACCCTCCCGATTTGATCGGGAGGCTCCAGATTTCTTGGCAAATCTCCCGATTTATATTTAAACCTCCTGATTTTACGAATGAAAAGAAAAAATGTTACTTTTTCTAAAAGAATCCTTGTAAAAGCTGTTCGCGTACGGTAAAAACGGTTGTCGGATCGACAAAAAAGCGGTATTTCGCCAAGAGGGGTGTTTTGTACGACAAAGTTTCGTAATATTTCGCATGAAAGGCAGAAATTTACAGTTGTTGTATTCACGAGTCTCGGAATCAAGAAATGACGCTTCTGAAAGAAAGTTTAAATTTTCTAAATTTTCTACCCAGTCACACTAGAGGTCAACGTTTTCTTGCCTTTACCAGACCTCCCGATTTTTGGAGATGTCAAGTTGGAATGTCTGGTTACGAGTCAATCTTCTGTACACTCTCCTCTATTCTGTGCTGTGTAGCAATTGGCTGGTGTTGAGATGACATAACCTTCCTGGGTGGTTGAGGGGATGTTCCCCTCAGAAAATTTTAAAGGGCATAGGCCCTTTACCAGACTGGTTTTGGCAGGTTTGGTCAATTGTGGACTAGCATTTGGTAATTGCGAGCAAGCCTGGAAATAAGCATCCTGTCACGGTAATTGACCGTGGGGGGTGAACAGGGGTATACAAATCCACCCAAATTTGAAGCAAAATCCACAATCCGACAATGGTCTTGCCTAAATTTGAATCCGCTAAAAGCTCTACTATGAAGTCACAATCCAGGATCCGAACTAAATTGCAAGCTAAATCCATAATCCGAGCCAAAATATTAGATAAATCCGCAATCCATTGAAAACCTATTCACCCACCCCCCTTGACCGGCACAAATACACAATTTGCAGTGTTTTGACAGGCACAAATTTGATTAAACTAACCTTCCTGTCAACAAACTCTATTATTTGTGCTATAAAGTTTAAAATTATCCGGTTTACTAGAAAATACATACATGCAGAAACTCTCGCCTTACTGACAAAACCATTGTATTTTCTGAACATGAAGTATCTAAAGTAGTTGTCATGGTATAATCGATAATTTTGCATATGTTAGATATGCTATTATACGTAATATAAGCTTCAATTTAAGGTAAAATTCAACCACAAACGCTTCGCAAAACGTTTTAAAATGTTCTTTATAAAACTAAGCTGCTTTTATTAAAGTTTAATTAAATGGCTTTATCGATAAACTTTGAGTTTGCAATAAAATGATTTCAAATTCTCGCATGTAAATAACTTTGCTTTCTTTTTTATTTAAAAAATTAAATATAATAAAAAAGGGAATCAATATTAAAGATACACTGAAAATATATGCTGTCTCAGTTTAGTTGTTTCATATACGCAAAGCCAAAGGCCGTCGGGTTTTAAAGCTATTATAAAATCAATATTTAAAACAAACTTACCTTCATTAACGTCGGCTCCCTTCTTTTAGCCGATTCTTTTGCCCTTTCTTTCTGAGAAGGCTTTTGAAATTTACAAAATCTTGCAAAAATGCGAGCAAAAATGAAATATATTTGCAAGAAATTTACCAATCATCAAATCAAGAAATGTTTGCTATTTCGCTGTCATCATGCAGTCGTTATAATGCAAACTTTAAATTGGACCAATCAGTGTCCGCTATTCATGTCAGTCCGCCATATTTTTGAGATCAGTGAGGATGACCACCCGTGGTTGGTCACCCATGCCCACGATTATTGATGAACTTTAGACTCCGCTAATGCTTTCGTTTCCCCGGGTGTACATAGCCGGGGGGAATTAGTACCCTCGCACGGCGCTTCGCGCCGTCAGCTCGGGGATTAAATACATGATGCTTTAAACATGATGCCATGTTTGTGCAGTGTTTCCACTATGATAAAATTTCCTTCTTATTCGCCTCATGATGAATGATGATCAAACTTCCTTCCAAGTCAGAGACGGATTTTCATATTTTTGTTCGGGAGGGTGGATAAATATCTGTGGGTGCTGCTGTTTGCTTTGGCCAGGGCCTGGTGGCAACGCCCGGAAAGGCCAAGGAAAAAGTTCAACAAAATTTGTTTTATAGGCCTGCATGGCATCTGAGACCATAATATTGGTAATTTTACAAATTTAGTAGTAAGAATAATCAAATATGAAACTATCAAATCAAAATATATATCATTTGCGGGGGTGCAAAAACTTTTTGGGGCGGTGCCAAATGCCTCTGGGGGGGTGTGCACCCCCCCC